GAGAGAGGACGAGATGAGAGGAGAGAAAAAGAGAGAGAGAGAGAGAGGAGCGAGAGACAGAGCGAGAGGAGAAGAAGAGAGAAGTGAGAGAAGAGGGAGCGAGAGAGAGATGGACGCGCGGCGCAGAGATAGAGAGAGAAGGAGAGTAAGACGAAGGAGGGATGAGAAAAGAGAGAGCGAGGTAGAGGGAACGAGAATGGCCTGAGAGACAGGGAAGAAGAGAAATAGCACGTGCTTACCGTAGTAACGGAATGGGCGTACGCCAGGCAGTACGCACCGGCTGTCGTCGTAAGCTTCGCAGCCTTGCTTATCACAGGTGGGTGTGGGTTGGTGGGGTGGGGTAGGGTATAGGGTGTTATGGTGCATGGCTCGGGCCTATACGTAAATTAATGTGATGTGTGTGTGTGGTGTGTGTGTGTGTGTGTGTTGCTGTGTGGTGTGTGGTGTGTTGTGTTGTGTAGTGTGTGTGTGTGTGTGTGTGTGTGTGTGTTGAACCTGGTGTTGTGCTGTTGGTCGGGCCAAGTGTGTGTGTTGTGTGTGTGTGTGTGTGTGTGTGTGTGTGCGACGTGTGTTGCGTGGTGCGTGCGTGCCACACACACACACACACACACACACACACACACACACAGAGGTGGTGGAGAGAGAGAGAGAGAGAGGGAGGGATAGGGAGACAGACATGAGAAGAGGGTTCAGGAAAAAGCGTGTAATACACCACTAAGGTGGTGCGGGGACCTTGTACACAATTAATGCGAGATGATAGCAGCGGGAGGGAAGCAGTCAGTCAGTCACGCCCGTGGCCCCTGGGTGGAGCATAGGCATAAGGAAGTGGACTGGAGGGAAGCAGGGTGCTTGATAAATCGTCTCGGAAAAAAACCCGTATAGTAAACAACCAGGGAAGAGAAGGACTGTGATGCAAGATCACGAATAGTTAGCGCGGGAAGAAGGGCGGTGAAACGAAGATAAAGCGTCTGCTGTGGCGGTTGGTGGTGGTGGGAGGCAGCTATGATATCTGGAAATGGAGAAATTTACGCTTAAAATCATTGCACTGATTCTATCTTTCCTATAGTTTATTTTTTCCCGTGCCACCTGCTTCACACTTTTTCGCACACGTTGCATACTACAAGCCCTGTCGCACACGTTACATACTACAAGCCCTGTTGCACACGTTACATACCACAAGCCCTGTTGCACACGTTGCACACTACAAGCCCTGTTGCACACGTTGCACACTACAAGCCCTGTCGCACACGTTACATACTACAAGCCCTGTCGCACACGTTACACACTACAAGCCCTGTCGCACACGTTGCCTTTTTGCAAGCCCTATTACTTATGCTGTCTGTGAGAAGCCATTAACATACAAACTGACACACACCCACACACACACACACACACACACACACACACACACACACACACACACACACACACACACACACACACACACACACAACACACACACAGCGTGCTATAGTACAACACTTTTACACATGCTGCCTGTGGCAATCCTGTTACGCACACGGCTTGCTACAAATCCGATTACCTACGAACGTACGTGATCTACCTCTCGTCTATCCGCCAACCCCCCTCTGTCCCACCTCACCCCCCATTAGCGGTCGTCTTGATGACTCATCGGTTGTTCGATTAGGATTCTTCTTAACCATCGCTAATTGAATGTGGCAGGTCGTCCGCGCTGCTGCTGCTGCTGTTGCTGCTGATGATGATGATGCTGGTGCTGCTGGTGCTGCTGGTGCTGCTGCTGCTGCTGCTGTTGCTGCTGATGTTGCTGTTGCTGCTGCTGTTGCTGCTGTTGCTGCTGCTACTGCTGCTGTTGCTGCTACTATTTTGGCTACTACTACTACTACTACTGCTGTTACTACTAATACTAGTACTACTACTACTGCTGCTGTTGATCATACTGCTGCTGCTGTTGCTGCTTTGGTTGCTGCTGCTGCTGCTGCTGCTGCTTTGGTTGCTGCTGCTGTTACTGCTACTACTGTTGTTACTGCTGTTGCTGCTGCTTCTGTTGCTACTGTTGCTGCTAATATTGCTGCTACTGCTGCTCCTGCTATTAGAGCTGCTACAACGTCTACTGCTGCTGCTAGTGCTGCTGCTGTTGTTATCCTTACTGCTGCTACTGCTGTGGGTAC